GCCATTGACGGGCAGGACGATTCCAATAACCCGACCTCACAGGAACATCCCGTTCCACCTCAGCATCTCCTTCAATATCACGTTTGCGAATATCCAAACGTTCTACGAATACAGGGTCCCACCGATAATAATCCCCCATCAACTCCATTAATTCCTCATCCAACCTCAGGTCAGACACAGTCCTACTGCTGCCCGTACCGACGTTCTCACCACTCGCCGCCATAATCAAATCTCAGAAAAATGATATAAAGGAATTACGAAGTGAGAAGAAGAAATTAGGGCTTACCGAAAAGTGGTGTAAATTCTTGAAGGTTTCGGGACTTGCTGAAATACGATAAAGAAAGTGAAAAGGAAAAAGACGAAGTATGCAAAAGATAGGTTGAGAGAACAATTACTTAAATGAAGGTTTAGTGAATAGAAACCGTGAATTTATCCGTATATATACGCTCGCAGTTTTCTAACCGTTGAAGATGGAGAGGCGCGTGGTTAAATGACGCGTCGATTCAGAGAAGTGCCCCTTTATTGTGACATGACGTTCAGATACAATCTCGTACGTACGCGTGTCCCAAAGAACCGCCAACGTTAATGTCCGGAAATTTCGGTACGTGCTTACTGTGAAGAGTAGTGGACACACCACGTTCGTGACCTCTCGTAAACCGCATAATAAATTTCTCACAGTACAAAACGACTTTGGTAAAGGAACCAAACTATGCGATTTTTGTCTAAGGAAAGTAACTCGGCACAAATTCGCGAAAGAGATCTTTAGATCAGCTCGGGAATAAAAAGCAATTGGAGGGAAAGTGTCATCAAAAAGTATGCATGATTTGCATACTTCTTAATGCCAGGGGCCTCTATGTTGATATAAAGATAAAAATATCTCGATGTAAAGATATAATTAAAGAAATCGCGAAAGATTGATGCATAAACTGGATCCTGGACGACGTCAAGCAGCGCATGTTGCAACTCGGAAATCTTACTTCGGTACCAATAAATGATCCCGAAGGATTTTTGGGAAGTCATCCAACACAAGTCGTCTGGACCTTGGAAAAGCCCAAGTCGGTCAAAGAATTATTTATTAACAAGTCGTAGAATATTGAAGGCCTGGCAAAGTACCGACTTCGCAAGGCAAACCGAACTCATTCCGACAGATGTGACACTCGGCACACAGATAGAGGCGTGCCCATATTAATCATTGCCTACAAAATTCCTTTACGTCATCGCCGCCCCTAAAATGTCAAATCCTCATTAAAACAGGAATGATTTGTCTAGGGATGTGTGCCAGACATACCTATAAATAGCAGCTCCAAAGACGAGAGAAGGGTTCGAAAAACGATCATATACGCTCATATATTCACCTCGGATATCTCATCGTAAACCGACTTGAAATTCATAAAAAACCGACCTCTTTGTATTAAAACTGACTTCGAAATATTCAATAAAAATCTCATTTTTTGCAATCTTTTGCGTTAATATTACATTGTGAACGTTGATCAAATCCGTTTATCAACAATATCAAATAACTACTTTGTAATTAAGTTAGTTCAAATGATTATATTTTTTTGAATTAATATTAATAGGTAATTTAAAAACTCATTTAAAACTGCTTTACTCAATATAGATATATACTCTATTTAATAAATTAAATTTATGCTATTAAATAATGATATAAAATGTATTTTGAATTATATAAAATATGAAAAAGTAATACGTGTATGAATTAGTTAAAAACTCATTTAAAACTACAGAATATCAAATTTACGAAATTATCTTAGGATATACTCCCGTAATAATATGATAGAGTTAATAAACAAATTTATGGGAGGCAATAAATTTATGGTAATGAAAGAAATATTTATTGGATGCAATAATATAAAATGAAATAATTATTTATGGTTGATTGAAAGCCGATTATGTTTCTAATTTTTATATCCAAACCTAAATACGAAGCATAGTAATTTGACACGTATGATTCCAAAGCGTGCGAGCCTGCCACTTAGACTCATCTCGTTTTGAATTAATATATAGGGGGATGTGCGACCACAATTTTAATAAAAAATAAATTCACCCAGATAAGACAGATATCTTCAGTTAGACCGACTTACATTTTAAAGTTATCATTCCATATCTACAAATATGCATAATCTATTAAAAAAATGTCATACTTTAAAACATAACATGAACATAGATATGACATTTAATAATATAAATATATATTTTTTATTTAAATAGTATCCTGTGTCGACTTAGCTAACTCTTAGACTGTCTCAAAGACAATAATTTGAAGAAAAAAAAATATTTGAAGTAGGTTTTATGTTATGCCAACCTAACCTTGGACCGACACTAATTTACAAATTTACATACTTTGAATGTTAAATGTCATAATTTAAAAAATAATATAAATAAAAATATGACATTTAATGGTATAACTATACATGAATAACAGATCGATCCACCGAACACCTCACTCAACAAATTGTGAATCATTTTTATATCCAATGCCCCCACTAACCTAGTTTTTTTAACATAATTTCTCAAGATTCTCAGCTAATGTATATAACTGATTTATTATTTGATTCATGTCAAAGATCGTACATGAAAAATTGAAAAATTGGAATTTTGTGCAGTACAATCAACTGCTAATAGTTATTGTTGTTATGTAATAAGGAAAAGCCAAATTGGGTAACAATGCACCACATACAAAGGTGGGAATCCCCATCATTATAAGAAACAAACTATGGGCTTTAGCCCAAAAAGCGACATAACAGTATTTTTCATTATTAAATCGTGGGCCATAACACACATGCGACTTTTTATTTTTATTTTCCTTAGTGGGCCCCCACTAGAATAAAAAAGGACCGATCCATTTTGTTTTTTTAATTTGACAGACAGGGACATATAACTACCATTTCTAAATTATGAGATTCTTTCATTTATCATGCTTCTAATAAATCATTACTTCCCATACATTCGTAATATATTAATTGATTTATATTTTATTTTACTATTTTTATCTTGTTGAGTACATTGATATTCGGAGGTATAATATAAAATAATTAAATGATAAAACTTGATCATGTCTATACATTTTTAATTAAACGATATATTATATTTCACATATTTCTAACTAGAAATATTTTGATTATGTATTTTGTATTATTCTATTAGTCAACTTTAGTCATTAGTTATATCTCATAACAATTCATAATTTAAAATATGTTCATTAATAAAAATCTACTATTTAACTCACTATTTTACTGAAACAACATTTTTATAAAAGATTAAAACATTAGTTTCAACTTGTACCATGCGTGCTTTTGGGATTTTCAACCTAATTTATCTTTTTTTGTTTGTAAAATACAATTTGAACTACATATACATTCATTACACGTTCGCCTACATCTTAACCCTACACATGTCCTTTTTTACAGACGGTTGTATGGTAAAAAACTAGGCGAGCGTGCAATTAATAATTGTATATGTAGTTCAAATTATATTTTAAAATATATATATATATATATATTTACACAAAAAATTGATATATATACTTTATGTTGAAAATTCTAAAATTACGTATAATATAAGTTGAAAAAAATTATGTACTCTTTCTAAAATAACATAAATCCAACCACACTTTTATATTTGTTGAGAAAATGACACGACTTAGCTTCAATTTTCATTTAATTTTTACATTGACGAAATTTAAATTTTAATTACAAATATACTACCTTTATAGTTTAAATGTAATTCATTTTTGGTTTATTTTTTTTATTCATTTTTAAATTGAACTATTTTCTTATTTATGTCAAGTTTGTAAATAGCTTATGTATGATTTTACTTTGATTGTCGTATCTATATCTATATATATATAATAAGAATTACTATTTTTTAAAAATGGAAAATCAAATTTCAGTCAACATTAATTACCTACCATTCTTAGTAACTTTTTTTTTCCTAATAATCATATTAACAATATATTAAAAGAGTGATTAACATACTTTGTTATATAGATACGTGATTTTCACTTAAAATTGAAATGGTAACAAGCTTTGTTCATTAAAAATTGACAACATGTTAACAAGATTTTTCAATTTATGAGGCTTTGTTCATAAATTTTTCAACATGTAACAACATGTTAACCATTTTTCAAAACCTGTTAATACATTTCAAGTTTTAATAAGAATTACCATGTGAATATCACAACAATATTTTATTCTTAAATCATTTCAATGTTTAATATTCCTCAAACTTCAAACAATCATATTAACAATACGTTTATATGACAACATGTTTAATGATTAATGAATATTTATATATCATTTTATAAATTTTTATGTGAATAAAATAATATTTTATTATAATTTTTATTAATGTACAGTGAATATGGTTTTCAGAATCGAACCATCATCGAAACGATCAAGTTATTCTATTAAATCATTTGTAGTTTGTGCAGATTTTAATTTATAAATATTTTAATATCAATATATATACATTTTAATATATATATATATATATATATCTAGAGTACGTTTTGTAATAAATTTTAATAAAATGTGTTACTTAAATATTTAAATAATTTATAAATTCAAATGTTAAAACTAATTGATAAACAATTTATAAATCTCTATTTTATTTAAATATGTAATTTATTTAAAATAATTTTTAAATGTAACAAAATTTATTTTGAAAATCGTAACGATCCTACCAGTCCAATTGACTGATGTTAACGGATTCAATAGTAAATATTTTATTCAAGCGAACTACGCTGTTTATAACCCGATTCTCGGTCCATCCGGTCGGACTGTGTCCAACCTGGTTTAATTTAAAAACAATAGGTAAATCATAATTAATGATATTATATATTTAATTTATAATATAATCGTAACATTATTTTCTCGTGCATCGCACGGACCACGCACTAGTTCTTTTTTAAAAAAAGTACAGATAATTGTAATAAACTGTAAAACGACTGCATTTGTAGATTGCACATTAGTAGTAAGTAACACGTTTATTCATCTGAAGCCCATATATATGTTAATAGGCCCATAAATCAGAGACGTTTACAATCAACGAACAAAACAATTTCGCCTCTTTGAGACATTTCGGCAAACAGGTAGCAAGCGATGTAGTTCTATGTTTCTTCGCTTTCTACTCTTTTGAGCGCATTAAGAATTTTGTTGATCTTTTACTGTGATTTTCTCATCCTTCTGTTCATTGTCTATGGAAAACAGTATCTTTGTATGATGGGTTTTCTGATATTTTATGTTTTTTCTCGTATTGATACTTTTTGCAGTGTGTTGAGACCAAATTGTGTAATTTTTTCCTATATTCTACTTGAATATTACTGAAAACAGACAATTAGTTGCATAGGTAAGAGATTCAGCATATATATATATATATGTTTTCACATTTAATGTGTAAATATGTGTGTTTAGGCTCTTGTGTTTGCCTCTCCCCATTGCGTGACGTATTGGAGAGGTATTATAGAGAAAACGAGCTAACAGAAGAAAATTCAACTTTTAACTTGAGAAGATGCTAAAGCTCGGTTGCTAATTGCTTCATGTTTCTGAATTTATTACTAAATGTGCAAAGGAAATTTTCTCCTTTTTTATTTTTTATTTTTTCTTTCATATTCATCATGTTGTTTGCAGTGATAAAAAATGCAAACTTTAAGGAAAGCCATTTTGAGCCACATTAGGATTGGAGTCCCTGTGAAAGGGCATTTGCGTAAATTTGGCGCAGCGACCAGTATCAACCAAGAACGAGTGATGAGTCGAGTCATTGAGTTGGTGAAGAAATTTGACAAGATTGATGCTACTAAGGTTACATTCTGGTGCCCTATCTTTTATTTTTTTATATTTCTTTCTTGTTGAGCAATTATGATCATAAATTTTCATATCTTATCTATGCTTGTCTTGTTAGCTTGACTGTGATTTAGTTTTGGTATACTTTAGTTTCAAACTCGTATGGATTTCCAATCGTGTGATTGAGTATTAGATGAAAATATAAAAATTTGAAAACGATACTTGAAATCGACTAGTAGTTAAAGAATATGCGAGTGGCTAAGCTAAACAATAAGGTTTAAGATAAATGCGTGGATTTGCGAAATTTTCGAAAAAAATTGCTGATGTGGCGTGCATCGTTTGTTTTTCTTGTAAATTTTGAGTTCTTCTCGTATTGATAGGTTACAGAAAGAGCCGATTTTCAGAAGGACTTGAGCCTCGACAGCCTGGACAGAGTGGAACTCGTGATGGCTTTCGAGGAAGAATTTTCTGTCGAGATATCTGATGCCGAAGCAGATAAGCTTAAGTGTTGTGCTGATGTTGCTAAATATGTTATTTCGAGTTCGACTGATGGAGTTTCCGAATCTTCTTCTTGATTTCAACTGTTTTCACATTTTGCAAGTTTTATTAATTAGTCCATTTTCTTGCCACAAAAACTGAGATAAATGTTCTTGTTTCTACTTCTTGGCTATTATGAAATGAATTCTTTTACGACAAAAGTGATTTTCTGGATATGATTGGTCTGCATTTCTTAAATTTTGTTTTACCTTGAAATCATAGTTGGCTGGGTTTATGCATGGCTGTGTGAATAAATTAAAAATGCTTATGAAATAATATTAATAAATTGACAATATAAAATCAATATGTAATACTCCCCCTCCCTATATTTATATATTTCAAATGTTATATGGAATATAATTTGTGCAAAATTACATAAAACATGTCTATTGAAATAAGTACACAACTCGTACGGTGCACATAACTGTTAATAAATTACATTATATTCATTTCAAAATAAGTATCAATTTAATTTTTTTTTCTTGGATACTAAATTAAATTTAAGATGTCCAAATCTTATGATTGAATGATCTGAAACGTAATATTTTTGAAAATTCATGTAAAATTGAGGTAATATAAATAGTCATGTACAAATTTGAAACGAAAGAGACAAAATAGAGAACATAATCTTATATTTTATCTATCTCAATCATATATATAAAAAAAATAGAATTACAATTTATGTTAACCATGACCTAAAATTGCACATTTTTATTATTTTATAATAATTTTGTAGTTCGCTTTAAAATTGCAATTATATTTGGATAGATTTTGTAAATAATATATTGCAATTAAGCATATTTGATTTATCTTATTCCCTTTATATATAATTTCAGAATCTATTGAGCCCAAGTGGCAAGTTCACACGCTTTGAATGTTGACATGTCAAAATAATTATACGCTTCGTAATTTGGGTTTGTATAAATATTAAATACTATTGTTTTGGGATCATGTTTGGTACTTGACATGAGTAGTTTATTTGCAATTTTGGTAATGTAATTGTGCATTTATATTTGTCACTTTTTCTCTTTCTCAAAATCAAATCTTACTATAGGAAACTCATATTATTTATTCTCATTTATTTCATTTATTAAGTACCATAATTTAATTTTATCATACTCTAAATGATAATAACTTTTTAATATGTAGTCTGTTTTTCAGATATGATTTATCAACTTAATTATTTTTTGACGATTTTTGATTTGACATTCATATCACATATAAAAAATATAAAATTAATTCTAGCTATCTTTATAAATAAAATAAAATTTATTTATCAATCCAGATTAATAAAAGACACATACAAATGAAACTATATATTATCTTAATAAAAAATACTTATATAAATATACCCAAAAATATTTTTTGTTAGTCTTATGAAAAAAATATGCAGATGTTAAGTATAACTATAGAATGAATAGGAATAAAATTCTAAAGCTTATGTCTCCACTTAAACTAAAAAACAAATGATTGGATGCCATTAGTGTTGAAAATAAAAAATATATAAGTAAATATAAATTTAAAATAACAAAATCATTAGTGGCAATTCATGAAGTCATAAAAATTTTAGATTGATAACCATTAATCTATATTTTAAATGATTCAATATTATTAAATAGAAATATGATAAATATAATTAAAATGTTATCATTTTTCACAATTTGAGGTTAAAATTTGTGTATCTTATTAAATGGTTGTTACTCTATTAATTATTCATTATTTATTATACTATTTCACAATTTATATATTTATTTTTATTATATAAATATTTTTTTTTTTAACAAATACTCGTGTAGTACACGGGTGTTCTACTATAAATAATTAGAGCGTGTCTATATACGAATAAATCTGCTCAAAATGAGTTTTTTGGGTTAATCAAAGTTAATTTTGATAAAAATGTTATGGTTAGTTGTTAGTGACATTTTGATTTTGTTTTAAAATAATATTTAAAATAAAGTAATTAAAGTCGATTTGATGTAAAAGTAGAAAAGAGATAGTGTAAAATGATGGTTAGTTAAATTATGTAAGTGGATAAATAGTGAATTAAAATTGATGTGATGTGTAAGAATGATTGATTTGTATTTATTTAATTATATGAATAATGTTATGGATAGTAAGATTGAGGTAAATTTGAGTTAGATTTTGGATATAAATTGAGTATGAGTTGAAATAATTTATAAATAAACACATCCTCAATCTCTTGGAGATATATTTGTTGTGTTTAAAGGGAAAATATGTTGAAATAAGGAACTCACAATTTTTTATATTTATTCCAAATTTGAGTGCTGGGCCAAATTCAAATTAATTATGCAGCTACGTACTAAAGCCTGTAAATGGAATAAAATATCGTAAACCTGATTGCAATTTATAATTCAAATATTTGGAATGTTGCAGCTGAATCATCTAATTAGAGAATATTTTTTTTTTTTATATTGATATTCTTAATCAGATTTGTTCTCATAATTAATGAAATTTACTACAATATGAATTCAAAACAATTTTAAAATTCGAAATTAATGATTCAATGGTGAGATTTTTCAAAAATTCTAAAATTTTTTTTACAAAGATTAGTAAGTTTTAAATTTTTCGGCAGGATTTTCGTTTTCATTTAAGGTAAATACAAACATTTATATATATGTGTGTGTGTGTGTGTGTCCTAGTTGAGAAATTCCTCGAGATCAACATTGAAAAGTTCAGACGAATATAAATTTCAATTGGAATAATAGTTAGAGTTCAATTATTCCGACAATAATCTTTCCGACTACTTGTTGTTGTGAAAAATTTTGTTATACATGCAATTTATCTTATAATTGCTTTCTCAACCGAGATTTTTAGGTGTTGAAAAAATTATTGTTGAAATCATCAGTACTCAATGAAAATTCTAATAAAAATTAATTCCAACTAAATATTGTTGTTAATTTTTTTAAAGAGAGTTGTAATATTCGAATATCCGTTAGAATATACTAAAGTTTGAATTTTCTTTTTAATTCAATCATTTTCTTATAGTGGCGAGAAACAAAGTATAAATCTAAACATTGGTCGTCTGTCCTTCGTGGTCATTTTCGTTTCTCCTAATCGTTCCTCTATTTTCGCTTCCGTTTCTGGTTGCTTTTCCTTCTCCAAACATCTCCAAAATCGTATATTTGTCTGCCTGAATATTTCCAAAAGTTTTTTGTTTCAAAATTGATCATGGACCAATTCCATTTTTGATTGAGGAGTATTGACTTCACCCCCAGTCTGAATTGCATGGTACACTTACCAAGTGGCATGTCAGATGGAGGGCACTCCTACAAAAATTATACGAATACTAAATCAGAAGAGGTACACATGACCTATATTTTCTATGCTATGTAACTGTAAGGGTGCTAGACTGGGAGCAAGATGTAGTCTAAGATTTTATGCGAACTCACAAAACGTAGAATCTATACTTATATAAAAAGCCATCCTATTTACTAGAAATAGTAGGCAGAAAAGTCAAATATAATTAATGCTTGCTGGAAATAGAATGACATTAATTACATATTTGTTTTGGTATTTATAGGTTTGACATTAAAGATTTGTTATAGAATAAAAATCAGAACCGATTTTTTTACCTTTGCTGGAAAAGTCAAAGGTAAGTATAGATTTGTTTATATTATCAAATCATAAAAAGATATTAAATCCATATTTTAAAAAAAATAATTCATATAATTTTATAACAATTCTACTACACTATTTAACAGTATTCTTTTTTATTATATAATAAAATAATAATTAAAAATTATATGGTGAACAACAATAAGTAAATTGTTACTTTCTCTTATATCAAGGGATAAATTTATATGTTAAAATTAAATTTTTATTAGTATAAATGTTTTAGTGACATAATATATTAATTTTTTACCAGCTAACTCTAACATGCTCATATTTAATGTTTTGGCTAAAAAAACACTGGTTAAAAAATGTGGAAAAAAAACTTATAATAACCCTATTGTTTTTTAAACTTAACGTTGATTAAAAGATGTAGAAAATAGATAATAACCCAATTATTTTTTAGACTTAAACGGACAAGGATGTGAAAATAACTCATTTAATATCTCTGTCCCGTGCATCGCACGAGGTACGTACTAGTTATATATTATACACTACCATTTAAAAAGGTAACATAATAATTTAAAGTTATTGTGCATATTCACTTTGATGCTCAAATTAAAACATCAATATCAACATATTATGTATAAATTAAAAAAAAATATTTATTATATTTTATAAACGATATTTGTAGTGATTTCGTTCCATATTAGGACTTTAAATAATTAAGTGAGTGCATTTGAATATAAACATAAAAATGCACACATTTTGTTGATATATTTATATACAATTTTGCTATGGTGCCATCCACACGCTCTTATAAATTACACTCATAAATTAAATATTGACATGTTTTCCAAAATACATACAGTTTACGAGAGATGTCATCCATTGACTATAAAATTCATGTATCCATAATGCAAAAACTTAGCATATTTTATTTATCATCTTGACATGTTTTCCAAAATAAATACAATTTACGAGAGATGTCATCCATTGACTATAAAATTCATGTATTGATAATGGCAAAAACTTAGCATATTTTATTTTGATAATCCTACTCATGCGTCGTATTCTTGAACTTTTTTGAAACGATCGATTTCACAGAAAAAACACAAATTTACATAGTAGAAGACAACGAATCCGCTGATAAAACCAGCCAACCAGTTGAATCTAGTTAGAAAAACTTCACGAAGTGTATTCATGTAGCTTAGAACCAATTTAACAATAAACGAAACACATAACACTGGGAACCACAACTAGGCTCCCACCAGTGGAGAAAGAAAAGCACTCGCAAGTGGATAAGCTCCCAAACGGGAGAAATAAAAAAGGACCAACAAAATACAAACCTACAATAAACTAACAAAACAAAACAGAAAAACAACAAAAATTAACAAAAACAACGCCCTCCCCATCGGACAACAACTCCATCGCTAGGAGCGTAGGTCGAGAAAATTTTAACTCGGGGCTGCATATTATTATTGCTATTATTGCAAACCAGTATACATGGTCATGATCCGACCCGACCCGACAGTTCAGCCTGAACCGACACAAATGAGCTCGTTGACCATGGGTCTTGATCCAACCCCTGGTTTTGACCAGTCCG